TGGACACGGTGTGACTATTTGGCTTTCAATATGATGGTGTGATCTGGAATTGTCATCTCGCTGTTGCTTATTTTCCTTGCAATGAGTTGAGATATATGTCAAAATTCCCTTAAAGATATGGGCCCAGTGGAATGGCCTTTTGGGGTGACATGTTTGTGTTTTGCCCCTGTCAGGTGGGTGTGCAAATACACTTGGCCTTTTGGAATTGCACCTACGAAAACTTGGCAACTACCGGCGCATTTTGTCAAAGTTGGGCAGCGTCTGATAGGGGAACATTGCCAGGACAGGGTCCAAGTGATGGCTGGGGTGTTTCGCAAAATGTTTTCGTCATCGTCCTTTGCTGCGGCAGGTCCACTTGTAATTCTTTATTTCTCAATTTCTAGTTGTATTACTGAAAACTCGTTTGTGGTGAGGTCGTGCAATTTACAACCGACTTTTTAAGTTTATCGTGCGACATTCTCATTTGCAAATATGGCTAAACTTTGGACTTGCTCGCATGCATCCATCCTGACTCGGTTCATCCCTATCTTCTTCTTCCTTCACTTTCGTCACTGATCCGGAAGAAGAAGTGATGAGAACCAGAGGACAAATTGAGGACAAACGACGGCAAACGTTGGGTCGTCTTCGCCAACTGTTTACGGAGCTGCACAGCGGTGGTCCAGACGCTGAGCAGCATGTAGGCAGCCGGTTCGATTTGCGTGCTGCAGAGAACGGTTTGTCGATGGTTGAGACTGCTGATGAGATGCTGGAAACCAGCGGACGGGTGCAGCAGATCATTGATTGCGCTTGAATGAGCCTCAACCATTTTGTCGTCGAACAGTTTGTGAAGATAGGCGGTCAAAAAATCAAGGAGGAGGAAGGGAAGGGAGAACCAAGTGAGAAGCAAGAAGAACCAGAACTGAGTGAAGAGATGATGGATGTCACCATAAAGCAATTGCAAGATATATTGAAGGAGGATACAAAGAAGAAGGAAGCCTACCAGAGACAAAGGAAAGAGAAGTTGAAGAAATAAAGCAGAAAACGAAAATTGGTTCGAAAACTGGTTTGGTGTTAGTGATGCAGAACATGATGGCCTATCTTGCACACTTGGAAACTAAAATTAACCACGTTACCCCAAAACTCCAAACGGTGATCACAGTGGCCAAGGGGAAGAACAAGGTGGTGGGAGAACAGAGAGAAGATTAAAAGAAAGAACCACAAGAGAAATTGATGAAGGACGCCAGGAAATCCCGTACACTCAAAGAATCGGAATCTCCCAAGAATGGGAAGACAGAAAGAAGAGAAAGGGGAGAAACCGAAAAGGAAAGAAAATGTGAAAATGAAATTGCCATTTACGTGCAACGGAAAGAAAGGAGAGCATTTGTTGGTTTGGACTGATGAAATACAGACCTATTGTTCGACCACCCTTGTTGCCGAAGATAGTCAGGTGGCATTCTCCACTTCTTGTCTTGGAGAAGTTGCCAAGGAGCGGGTTTTGTCTGAAGCCAATGCTGCTGGATTCGAGGAAAAAAAAATCGGTGATTGGGCGACGACCATGACCTTGCAGGAATTTCTTTAATTTTTTTTTTTTTAACTATCGGTGATTCAGAGACTTTGCTCTTCAGCAAGAGCAAATGACCGCTCGGGTCAAAGATATGGATCGTAACGCTGTAAGGGGGGGGGCGCAATCAGGCAGGAATAGGAAAAAAAATTGTGGAGGAAAAAGCTACAAGACTACCTCCTTGTCGTTTTCTATGTTGAGACGACGGAGAGGTGGCCCCTCAAAAAAATTGAGGGTGGGACCTGTCTCTTATACACATCTAGATGTGTATAAGAGACAGGGCGACGACCATGACCTTGCAGGAATTTCTTTAATTTTTTTTTTTTTAACTATCGGTGATTCAGAGACTTTGCTCTTCAGCAAGAGCAAATGACCGCTCGGGTCAAAGATATGGATCGTAACGCTGTAAGGGGGGGGGCGCAATCAGGCAGGAATAGGAAAAAAAATTGTGGAGGAAAAAGCTACAAGACTACCTCCTTGTCGTTTTCTATGTTGAGACGACGGAGAGGTGGCCCCTCAAAAAAATTGAGGGTGGGACCAACAACGATAGCGAGCCGGAAAAGGGCGACGTCAATGTTGTGGTGGCCAACAAAGGTGGCACCTACAGTGGAGGAGTATGGAAGAAGTGGCCACACTCCTTTCCTGAAAATCCTAGCATAAGTTCTGGGAAGCCGTGGGAAAAACTGGGCATAACCCAAAAGGTATGGCAAGGTCAGATGGACAACCATCAGTGCCTCAAGTGTGGCACTGAGGGACACGTCATTGCATGGTGTCACTTGATTCGAAACCCGAAAAGGGAGCAACCAATAGGAGTAGCATCTGCTTCTACTGAGCTGGAACGTTTGGATTGTGGCGCCCCAAACCCCTTTTAACCCTCCAGCTCGCATGACAGAGGATCTCTTCTTCGGCCCCTCACCCAGATCGCCTTGAACGTGAGTTGAGTTGAGTCTCGTTGGGTGAGTCCCTTGCGGAACTTGGAAACGAATCGGTGAATCTAAGAAGTCACAGGGCTAAGAAAGCAAAGAACAAAGGCAAATTGATGTTTGCAGGTGTGGAAATTGCATGAACACAGACTCGTGCTTTGCTTGGCCCATGGTGAACTACGTCCTACATACCAGAGAGAGCCATTAAGAAGATGCATCTTGGTACGAGGGTCAAAGAGTTGCCTAGGCCTGTCGTGTCAATGCTTGTAAACCGAAGCACCATAACGGTCTCGCATTGTGCAGAGAATGAGAAATGTTACTGCATAACTCATGAAGGGAAGGAAATTCTGCATGAGGTAATATTTCCGATTGAAAAGAACCTACCCTTTGACTTGATTCTGGGAATGGATTGGCACGAGGCGGCTGACCCTGATATCAGGTAAAAGGAAAAGATTATTATGTTACGATCCTGGTCATTTCCCAAGTGCAAATTCACAATGAAAGACTTTGCGAAAGAAATGAAAGCACTTGCAAAGAGATAAAGACTAGAGGAGAGAGAAAGAAGAAGAAGAAGAAGAAGTTCACCAGCAAGACCAATGGCAATTCCCCCTTCTCTCTCCACCTTCCTCCTCCTCCTTCACTTCACCAATCTTATTCTTTTCTCAATAATAATAATAACAATGAATGGATGAACCAGAATCAATATCTGAAGTTCCCTCTTACCGCTGACTCAATTCAACAACAACAACAACAACAACAACTAGTCCACCATAGCTATGGCTTCCCTCCTTCAGCCTCCTCTCTCATGCATAGGCTGTGGCGGACTAATGAGGGCCTTGCCCTGACGTCCAAAGGACAACCCAAAGCAACTATGGTGTGGCGTTGATGTCCAAAGGACAACCCAAAGCAGCTATGCCGCTGCTGACTGGTCCGCCATGCCTGACTCTGCCTCGAGCTTCCTTGGTGCAGCGCTACCGCAACTGGGGCCTTCTAGGTGCAGCACCCAACAAGGTGATGAAGATGGTGTCTACCATAGCCAGGTAAGTGCCCCGCCACTCTCCTACCATGCCCCCTCCATCCTCCTCCTCAAGCAGGACTGCTCGCCATAGCCAGGCTGAGCTCCAGCGGTCCTTCACCTCCAAGCAGCGCTGCACCAGTCCAGCGTTGCGCTACAGCAGCATGTCGCCAATCCTTGCACACTGCAAATGAGGAAGAACTCTTTGCTCTTCCTGGAGATATAGCGGCCTACCGGCCTCCTGGGTGGTGACTTCCTAGGCCGAGCAGCCTCCCAGCAACCGGTACCTCCTCCTTTTCGGAGGGAAACATCATTGCAGGCTCTGCTATCCTCCGTACAGGCCCTAGACCGGGGCTACTTGGACTGGTACCGACCTACCTCTAACCTACCGCTACTGGGCCTCTAAAAATGCCAACTTTTTGTCTTCTTCTGCTCGGCGTCCAGTACCCGACACTTGTACCACGACTTCAGTGGTACCGGCCTACCTGCTACTTGAGTGTTTTTCCCCTCTGCTCTAAGTGCCGCGGGCCTACCCCCACTACTCGAGAGTTTTCCCCCTGCAACCCTTCACAGTCACGGCCACAGGTAAGTATCGGCCGTGCGGAGCCTTGCAACCAACAAGTACCCTTGCGGGTCACACACACACTCAACCGACAAGCACTCAGACATGCATGCAAACCAGCAGGCACGCACACATATACAGACATGGAAATCACAGCAGAATGCAGGAATTTCAACAAGGCATTTATTCCAGCGGCAAATCCCATAAATCAGCGGTGTTCTCAGTCTGTGTTTTTGGCGGGTCATTACAATTAAATTAAAAAATGAAAATCAAAAAATTAAATTAATGTTATTTCATAAATCCTGGTTGGACTCATCATTGCCTTTTTGTTGCACGAGTCTACTTGCCTTTCAAAGTAATGTAACGAAGAGGAAGTCGGCATAAAAAATGGTTGTGGTACTCGTCAAGAATGTGGGTGAGTGCTCTACTTCCTACCCTCCTATTGGGAAACTTCTTGGTGAGTAGAAGGACCTGCAAACTGAACCTACGAGAGTAACTGAGAGAACCATAAAACACAATTGAGATTATTCCGGGTAGTAAGATGCCCAAAGGACCAATCTATCGCATATCCCCGCGAGAAGAAAAAAAATTGTTTGAACTTAATGAGAAACGATGGATGAGGCTGAGTTCCTTTCCTTATTGCGCACCTGTACTCTTTGTGCCCAAAAAGGAAGGTGAGCTTGTATTGTGCATGGGCTACTGAGGATTGAACTCCGTAATTGTTAAAAATGCGGAACCTCTACCTCGAATCGATGACTTGCTTGACCAATTGCAGGTTGCAAGTATTTCATCAAGATCCATATGAAGTCAGACTACCATCAGATCGAGGTGGTTCCTGAGGATCAACACAAGATGACGTTTTGAACGAGGTATGGTCACATGAGTTTGTGGCTATGCCCTTTGGTCTTACTAACTCCCCTACAACCTTTGAACTCTCCATGAAACTCTTTCGTGAGTGGCTCGATGAAGTTGTAGTTGTGTATCTCGATGACATCCTCGTCTACAGGAAGACGTTGGACGACCATGAGAAACATCTACGAATGGTCTTGCAGAAGTTGCATGAGGGTAACTTGAAATTGATCCCAAAGACATGAGAGTTTGCAAAATCCGAAGTTTTATTATTCGGACATGTTGCAAATGAAGATGGATTAAGGCCATAAGAGAAAAAAATTGCTGCAATTAGGGATTGGCCTAAGCCAAGGAACCTAACTGAATTGCGCTCCTTCTTAGGATTGGCAAGCTACTATGGAAAGTTTGTGAGGAACTTCTCTAGTATAGCAGCCCCAATGAGGAGACTATTGAAAATGGGTACTATTTGGCTATGCGTGAGGAAGTATGCTCTAACTCACTACCTTGTTCGCAAGATTGATGATCCCTCACTTCCATTCGTCGTCACCTACCGACGCCAGTGGGATCGGTGCAGTCTTGCAGCAAAATGATAGGAAGGGGTACAAACCGATTGAGTTTATGTTTTGCCGCTTACCCTTTGAGAAAGTGGCTAACTCCATCTATGAGAGAGAGTTGTTTGCTTTGTTGCAGGCGTTAACTGCGTGGAAGCACTATCTGTTGGGCAAACACTTCAAAGTCTACTCAGATCATGAGACACTGAAGTGGCTCAAACACAACCACGACTGTCCGATGAATTAGCTCGATGGTCTGCGATCATAGATACCTTTGTCTTCGAGTTGAAGACCATCAAGGGTAAGTACAATGCGATAGCCACCGCTCTCTCCAGTAGATCTGACTTCTCTGGAACAATCATTACTTACCTCGATATTGAAAGAGAATTGAAAGATAAAATCAGGGATGGGTATGCTAAAGACAGAGTATGGCAACCTATAACAGAATCTCTGAAAACGAACCCGGAACGCTTCCCAGACTATAAGATGAGTGATGGCATACTCTTCTTGATAGATAAAAGTGAGCAACGAGTTTGCATTCCCCACGATGAAGCAGTGAAGAGGTTGATTTTTGGTAAATGTCATGACACTGAAGGCCACTTTGGTATCAAGAAGACATTTGGTCACGTTTGGGAACAGTTTGAGAGGCAAGGAATGAAGGAAGACACACTAACCTATGTGAGAACTTGTTTTGTGTGTGAGAGATGAGAATCCACTGGGACAACTGAGACCACTTCCCATCCTCAACAGACCAGGAAAGTCTATCTCTATCGATTTCACCAGTCTCACCAAGAGTCGGAATGGGAATAGTCAAGTATGCTATGTTTATTCCCCTACCTGTTGAATCTAAAACTGAACTCGTCATCCAGAAATGTGAGATGCGATGGGTTTCCGAGTACGAGTTTCATAAGCCTATCATATATGATAGAGATGTAAGATTCATTGGTGAATAGTGGCAGAAGTTGACGAGTGCATATGGCATTAGACTAACCATGTCATCAGGGAGGCATCCCGAAACGAATGGACAAACTGAACAAATGAATAGACTGTGCCAACAACTTCTGCGCATGTATGTGAGCGCAGACCAAGTGGATTGGGATGAGAACCTGCGTAAGATAGCGAGTGCATATAATAACAATGTTCACACAGTAACACGACAAACACCTAATGCACTACACAAAGGCTGGCAACCTCAAAGACCTGTTGATTCTCTAACAAGGGACCAGATACAAAGGTTGCCCCCAGGAACCTGATAATTTGCAGTTTTGTATGAGCAAGATATTGCGAAAGTCAAAGAAAATGTCAAGAAAGGCCAAAAACTCAGATGATTGAGCAAGCCAACTGCCCCCAGGAACCTGAGAATTTGCAGTTTTGTATTAGCACAAGGGTACCTATTGCGGCTTCGCTCACAAGGGATTGAGGGGGAAATGGGAGAAATGAGTCGGGGTGGTGGGTTCGGTGGGTTTTGGGGTGGTGGTCGGGGGTGTTCTTAGACTCATGGTCCAGTGGGGGGTTGTACCCTAACAGCTATGGCAATGTGTGTGCAGCACCTTCTGCTAGTTGGAGAGGTTATGCAACAGTTGGCTTTGGAAATCGGCATGTTATGTCTACCCCTACTGTCTTCCCCCGACTCTAGACTGAAATCCAGCGGCGTACCTTGGTTGGTATGGCACGCAAGTGGCATTCACGAGGTTTTGGGTTCTCTCTCTCTCTCTCTCTCTCTCTCTCTCTCTCTCTCTCTCTCTCTCTCTCTCTCTCTCTCTCTCTCTCTCTCTCTCTGTGTGTGTGTTGCCGTGCTGCGTGCGCATGCGCGCTGTTTTTCCGTGTATTTTTTTTCTTTTAGATCTCCCAATGGTTTACAGGTCAGATGTCAAACTGATCGGAACAGATACTACACTTGATCGTCATCGTCGTCGTCGTTTTGGGGGCGGGGTAGTTAGTTTGGGGTATCTCTCTCTCTCTCTCTCTCTCTCTCTCTCTCTCTCTCTGTGTGTGTGTGTGTGTGTTGCTTTGCTGCGCGCGCACGCGCGCTGTTTTTCCGTGGTTTTTTTTTTTTTCCAGATCTCCCAGTGGTTTCCAGGTCAGATGTCAAACTGATCAGAACAGATACTACACTTGATCGTCGTCGTCGTTTTGGGGGGCGGGGTAGTTAGTTAGTTTGGGGTCTCTCTCTCTCTCTCTCTCTCTCTCTCTCTCCCTCCCTCCCTCTTGCGCGCGCCGATTTACAAACGGGTCGCAACAGATACTACACTTGATCGTCATCGTTGTCGTCGTTTTGGGGGGCAGGGCAATTAGTTTGTTTGGGGTGTCTGTCTGCTCTCTCTCTCTCTCTCTCTCTCTCTCTCTCTCTCTCTCTCTCTCTCTCTCTTGTGCGCGCGCCGTTTTTCAAACGGATCGGAACAGATACTGCACTTCGTCATTTTTGGGGGCGGGTCAAATATCAAACTGATCGCAACAGATACTACACTTGATCGTCATCGTCGGTTTGGGGGGCGAGGTAGTTAGTTAGGGGTCTCTCTCTCTCTCTCTCTCTCTCTCTCTCTCTCTCTCTCTCTCTCTCTCTCTCTCTCTCTCTCTCTCTCTNCTCTCTCTCTCTCTCTCTCTCTCTCTCTCTCTCTCTCTCTCTCTCTGTGTGTGTGTGTGTGTGTGTGTGTGTGTGTGTGTGTGTGTGTGTGTTGCTCGCTGTTTTTCCGTTTTTTTTAATATAAAAATCTCCCAATGGTCCACAGGTCAGATATCGAAGTGACCGGAACAGATACTACACTTGATCGTCAGCGTCGTCGTTGTTTTCTTGGGCGGGGGGACACTTGATGGTCATCGTCGCCATCGTTTTGGGGGGCGGGGTAGTTAGTTAGTTTGGGGTCTGTGTGTGTGTGTGTGTGTGTGTGTGTGTGCGTGTGTGTGTGTTACATGCTGCGCCTGCACACGCAGGCCATTTTCCAAGCCTGCGTCCTTCGGGCCGAAAGCCTGAAATCCAGGGCTTACAGGCCCCATGTCAGTTGAGCCCGAAAGCCTGAATTCCAGGGCCTATCCCTGTGTCGTTTCAGACTAAAAATGGCAACAGCCTTTTTAGCCTGATACGAAGGGCCATTTTCGATCGTTAATCAGAACGACCGGCCCTGAAACTCAGGCACCGAACCAGGGTTTCGGGAACAGGCTATTCTTAGCCTGTTCCCACGCCAGCCTTAGCAGGCTGTTGCACGCCAGCCCTTGGCACACTTCGGCATTGGCAAGAAATGCCTCCTCGGCCTGGCTTGCCCTTCAGGCAGTCGGGAGGCAGGCCGAGGTAGTACATAGGAACCTCCCAGGCACTTCACGGGTAGGCAGAGAGGCAGTTGTAGTCTTCAGGATTCGGGAGCAGCACTCTGGAGGAAGCGCTGCAGAGTAGTAGTAGCGTTAGCTTGTAGTCTTCAGCGCTGGGCGCATAAGGTAGCTGTAGTCTCCTGCGTTGGGCGGCATAGCTAGATAGTACTAGAGAGAGAGAGAGATTGGGCGGAGGCCAGAGGCACTTACCTGCAGCACCGTTGCTCCAGCTTCGTCTTCAAGGTACCTGCAGCACAGCGCCAATACCACAGGTCAGTATCTGGCTCGTAATAGTGAGAGAGAGTTCTTCTTCTCCTCTTCTCCGTCCACCGTCTCCTTCTCCCCCTCTCAACATCTGACTTCGCTGCATCTGCAGACTACGAGAGAAGAGAGAAACAGCTCGTTGACATCGGATCCAGACTCGACTTTTGGGACTTCAGGCATGGCAACGAGGGATTATTTGGGATCGGTGACAAAGATTCGGTGTTGTCGACATTCCCATCTCTCTCCCTCCTTTCGTATGATTCCTTCCTCTTCGTCTGTGTATCTCTGGACCTGGCGCTTTCTTCCTGTGTACAGCGCCAGGCTCCTTCACACCTGGTGAGGAATACGATGTATGTTTGGTCTGAGTTCAAACATTGATTGGGCTAGTTATTAGCATTCTAGCATTCTGCTTCGCTACTTTGTACTACGTGAATGAGGTCAGTCCCGGTCAGGTCAGTCTTGTATTTAAGTCTTCCCTGCGCTATTCAGCACCATTATGTATGTATGAGAACGCACGTATCTTGTCGAGATTCTATTCGCACCGCATTGTCCATTCGGTCCTTTTCGTCACATTGCAGATCCTCAGTTATTACGTACATTGCATATCTGTGCACGTAACAATTGGTATCGGAGCATCGCACGTGAATCGGGACAACCTGATCTGACACGTGTGCGGGGACTAAATAGCTAGTTAGTCTTTATTGATTGATTAGAGCACACTAGTTAAGCCCCCAAAATCACGATTTTGACCTTACTACCGAAAATCGAATTTTTTTTTCTTTCCTTGGATTTTGTTTTCTCGCTATTCTGTTGTGGGAAATCGCAATATCGCAACATCTTAAATTCCCATTTTTGTTTTTCTTCTGAAAATTCAAAATTTCGTTGTTGAAAATCCGAAATATTTTTCGTTTGGAAAATTTCGATTTCCTGTTGCATTTCCCGTTGCTTAGAAATTCGGAATATCTTCTTTTCCAAAATTCATTTTTCTGAAAACGGTATGGGAAATCCCTCCTACGGAATTATTTTCCAAACTGCGAATATTCTTATCTGAATAAATCCGAATACTTGTCATTTCTGTTCGGAATTTTTTCGCAGTTCTAGGATTCTGTCGTTTAGTTCTATTAATCATTTGCAGTCTGAAGTCGAAATTTTTTTTGTCAGTGATCATTTCGTACTTCAAGGGAGGTTGGGAGACCTACCGAACTTGCAAAAAATCGGGATTTTTGTTTTTCTCGAAATTTTTTTGCAAAGTTCAAACTTTTCTTTTTGATTAGTGGCTCCTTATCAGAGTGATTAGTTGGGCAATTATCCCGCCCACCCCTCCCCACCTATGTTGTTTCCATCTCTCGCCTTATCTTCTTTGCTTGTCTCCGGGTACCCCCTGCGGCGGCATTGGTGAGTTGCCACGTCAGCACGCCACGTCAGCAGGCCACGTCTGCAGGACACGTCAGCAGTGCCACGTCAGCAGCAGAGGATACCACATCAGCAGGCCCCGGCCTGGTCTATGCTGTTGCGTTCACATACAACAGTCATGGACCAGAGGCCCGGAGAAGCAGACGAGGCCTATCAGGCCCGCATGCTCGCCTGGAGTACCGAGACAAAGAAACGGGCAGATGACGTTGCCGCAGCAGCAAAGAAGAAGGAAGAGGATGCCGAGCAGGCACGTCTGATGGCAATTGAACAACAACGTCAGCATGACGATGCAGCAGCAAGGGCTGTCGATGAAGAAAGACACCAACGTCGTAAGAAGATATTTACCGGAGAGCAGGCGTTACTTACAATGGCAGCAGAATGGCGGACCGAGGCCGAGAATAGCAAGCTGGAGGATAGCGCAAACAAGATAGCGCTCCTTTCGCATCTCACAGACCTCCTAGCAACCTGCATTACACAACAGGAGGAGATCCACAGTCTCGACAACTCGCTAGCTCACGTCCAAAACCGCCTTCAGCGGTTGGAGCAGCCACCAGCCGCCGCCGCCGATGCAAGCTCTTCCAATACTTCCGACCGCCTCAATGCATTGGAGATGGACGTCGGCTCACTCAAGGATGGCGTGCAATTACAGCAGACGGCGACGCAACAGTTGCAACAGCGGATCTGCACTACCGCCAACATCTCGAGTTCGGAACCGCGCGAGACAGCTCCAAAGTTTGACGGGCAGGATATCTTCTGCGACTCAATGAAGACAAATCCGGTTCCATGGTTTCGCAAGTTCGAGCTCACGCTGCAGCTCCACGACGTCAAGGAACACAAGCACCACGCATACTTGTACTCTCGCTCAGGGGGCGCGTGCCAGGCTTGGTTGGACAGCCTGTTGTCCAAGTACGGAGTGGTAGCCAACGACTTGCACACCAAGATCAGCTGGGATGATCTGAAGGCGGCGTGGCACAAGCGGTTCCAGGTGGAGCCGCCGGAGACCAAAGCCATGGACAAGCTCATGGTCTTCGAGCAAGGCACGCTGCCGAGTACGGACTGGATCGCCGAGTACCAACGCTTGGCGTCAGTCCCAGACATCCAGATGGGCTTCAAAGCCATCCGCCATTACTTCATCTCAAGGTCATGTCCGCTCCACAACGTCAAGGAACACAAGCACCACGCATACTTGGTACTCTCGCTCAGGGGGCGCGTGCCAGGCTTGGTTGGACAACCTGTTGTCCAAGTACGGAGTGGTAGCCAACGACTTGCACACCAAGATCAGTTGGGATGATCTGAAGGTGGCGTGGCACAAGCGGTTCCAGGTGGAGCCGCCGGAAACCAAAGCCATGGACAAGCTCATGGTCCTCGAGCAAGGCACGCTGCCGAGTACGGACTGGATCGCCGAGTACCAACGCTTGACATCAGTCCCAGACATCCAGATGGGCTTCAAAACCATCCGCCATTACTTCATCTCAAGGTCATGTCCGACATTAAGCAATGCCCTGACGCATGTTGAGGACACCTTGACGACGACGGCGGAATTGTTTGACAAGGCCGCGCAGATCATCATCACGAACAAGGAGGCCAAGAACCTCCGTTCATCTACGTAAGGGCCGAGCAGGGACCAGCATCGGCCAAGAGTGGTCGTGGTCGCAGCGGCAACGCAGTTTGACCAATCCAGCGAGGCTGTGTCTGCCAGTGAAGGGGACAGACTCGCAGCCGCCCGGGAAGGTGGCCGCCCCGACAGAGGCCGAGGACGCGGCAAGACGAAGACACACACCGCATCTAGCCCCGGGCCCGGTGCAGCAGCTCAGACACGCCTTAGAGTTGGAAGTTCCAAATTCATTGGTCAATCAGCAGGCTCGCCATAGTTTGATCGAAGAGGAGCCTCAGAGACTACAAGCGAAGCAACTTTTGTTTTGCCCATGGTCCCAATATGGCATCTCCGAGCAAGCATTCAAAGCACGCGAGAGATTCCATTATTGCCTTTGGTGCAACAGCGATCTTCATCAGACGCAGGTCTGCCCATTGAAAGGCAAGGGCAAACAGGGAAACTGAGCACCACTGAGAGTGACTCAACGACACTCTCGACGCCTTCGGAACCGGTTTCTTCGCGAGTAATCGGCCTTCATTCCGAGGCGCACGCGGAAGTCGATAGTCCTCCTCTTCTACTTTCTTTTGAGGACTATGCTGCCCGGCTCGTTCCTACGCCGGGTACTCAAGCTCAAGGACAAGAAGTGTGTGCGGTTTCTTCTCCGTCCGGCAACGACGACATATCGTCTTCAAGTGGTTCTTCACGGGATTCGGCACGCGAGTTCAACATAGAGGCATTGGACCCGCTCACGTCCGAGGACTTTGCATGGCTTCCTCTCCCGACCACAGGCCGCATGCCGGGACCGCAATGCGCAGCACTTAGCGCTCATCTCCACACTTACTTATCCTTCTATGCACCACCAACTTCGCCGACGGATGACAAAGTCGCGGTGGGGGACATCCTGGCGTATACTACCAAAGTGGCCCGCGAGTTTCGCACGCATCGGTACGATGACAACAACGCACCGCTCATGTATGTCCGCATTCAAGTTGGGCAAGCGTCCTGCAGCGCTTCGCTGGATAGCGGCGCGTCTCGCAACTTCATGAGCCAATCCTTTATGCAAAGGGCTGGCGTTGGCGCACAATTTTGGAGGAAGGCAAACCCGACGGCGATCAAGTTGGCGGATGGAAAGACGCAACAACTTCTCGACCGTTACATCGAGGCCGTACCGGTCTACTTCGCACCTCATGCATGCGAACCGGTGACATTCGATATTCTCGACACGGACTTTGACATCATTCTAGGAATGCCTTGGCTTGCAAGTGCGGATCACGCGGTCAACTTCCATCGGCGGACTCTTAGCTTTCGCGACCCCTTCGGCGCGGAAGTGGCGTGTACTATTCCTCTACCGCACCCTTCGATCCTGTGCCAAGTGGTGACGGCCAAATCATTCCGGGCGACTTGCGCTTACCAGCAGCCCGAGGAGATTGGCCTATGTTTCCTACAGACCGTCGCGGTAGCTGACTCTTCACCCACGGACTTGTCTTCGGACCCCCGTGTGGTGCGGTTGCTGGACGAGTTCGCCGACATCTTCGAGCCACCTACCGGTGTGGTGCCTGATCGGCCAATCTCTCACGAGATGATCCTTGAGGCCGGTGTCGTGCCGCCGAAAGGTTGCATCTATCGGATGAGCGAGGAGGAACTCGAGGTCCTCCGAGCACAACTCGACGATTTGTTGGCCAAGGGCTGGATCCGCCCTAGCAGCTCCCCATATGGAGCACCAGTTCTCTTCGTCAGGAAGAGGAACAAGGATTTACGACTGTGTATCGACTACCGCAAGCTCAATGCGCAAACCGTCAAGAATGCGGAGCCTCTTCCTCGCATCGACGATCTTCTGGAGCGATTGGGCGGCGCAAAGTACTTTTCTAAGTTGGATTTGAAATCGAGATATCATCAAATCTCGATCCGGCCGAATGATCGCTACAAGACCGCGTTCAAGACGCGGTACGGGCATTTTGAGTGGGTGGTCATGCCTTTTGGCCTCACCAACGCCCCGACGACCTTTCAAGCGGCAATGACCAATGAGTTCCGTGCAATGCTGGACCGGTTCGTGCTGGTCTACTTAGACGATATTCTCGTCTATAGCCGGACATTGGAGGATCATCTTGGACATCTTCGACGAGTGTTGGAGACGCTCCGCCGCGCCAAGTACAAGGCCAACCATGACAAGTGTGAATTTGTCTGGCAAGAGCTAGAATACTTAGGCCATTTTGTCACACCGGAGGGCATCTTTCCGCTATCGGACAAGATTCAGGCCATCCAAGAGTGGGCGGAGCCTCGGAACGTCACTGATGTCCGCTCGTTCCTCGGTCTTGCCGACTACTATCAGCGCTTTATCAAAGGCTACTCGAAGATCGCGGCCCACTTGAACAAGCTTCAATGCGAGGATCGGTCGTTTGACTTCGGAGAGGAGGCGCGGGGATCATTCTTCGCTCTCAAAGCCGCGCTATTGTTTGTGGAGGTCTTGCGGATATACGACCCGCTCTTGCCTACGCACGTCACTACGGATGCGTCAGGCTATGGCATTGGTGCAGTCCTCGAGCAACATGATGGTGTGGACTGGCACCCGATCAAGTACTTTAGCAAGAAAGTGCCCATCGTGCATTCCATTGACGATGCACGCAAGAAGGAGCTCCTCGCCTTCGTCCACGAGCGGTGGCGGCACTTCCTCCTTGGTCAAAGCCAATTTCGCTGGGTAACGGACAACAATCCGTTGGTCTTCTACAAGACCCAAGACAACGTCAACAACACCATTGCTCGATGGATGGCTTTCATCGACCAGTTCGACTTCTTTCCCGATCACATTCCCGGGATTCGCTATTTCCAACAATGTGTGGCACATGAGTTTGCTGACTTCGTCTGACGCGGCATAGTGCTTCCTTTGCACTTCCACCTTCGCTTCCAACGCCTCGCACTGCCGGACCTGGATAGAGCATTGCCGCTTGCTTGCACTCTCCATCGTCGACGTCATTAGCTCCCCGTGTTTCTCCATGCATTCCGTCAGCGCCTCGAAAGTCTGCTGCCTCGTGCGCTTCCTTTTCCCAGAACCGTCGGGGGTGCCCGTCGTCTGCGAAAAGCCTCGCGTCGACCCCTCCTCATCGTGTTCTCGCGCTGCACCTCCTTCCCCGTCCGCCACCGATTCAGGATCCACGTAAGACGTCGAAGGCGGGCGCACGCCGCCAGACGCACCGATGTCTTCCACGTTCTTCGGGTGGATGGTGTGGTTCATCCCAGTCGACCCCTCTGTCTCGTCATAAACTGCGCGATCCATCGTGAAATTGAAGCCCTTGCTTGCCCTCTCCTTCAACGTCAACTTGAAAAAGTCGGCACCCCGTGACGGTGATTGAAAGTGATGGACTTTCTTGAACTGCTGCATTAGATTGTCCCACTTCTTCCCGCATTTCTCCGCATTCCTGTCCACGCCGACGTTCTTCAACCTTTGGGCGACGTCTTGCCATTTCCATTCCCGCGGTTTCATCCGTGCGTATGCGTGGCCCATCCCCTGCATATGCGCATCTTGGTCACGTTTAGCCCTTATGAGGGCTATAATGTGTTCCACGGACCAGAAGTTGCGCTTCTCCTCCGCATCACCGTCGCCTTCGCCACCGCTCCCCTTTCCCTGCCCTTTCTTCGCCCGCAGACGAGCATTGCGGCCGGAAGGCTTGGACTTCCCACCCTTACCAGCCATGTCGCTCTGCAACGATGGCGACGCGTGACCAACCCCCCCTTCCCCACACTCTACGTCGTTGTCGTCGTCGTCGTCTGCGTCCGCCGGTGGATCGTCCGTCTCGTTCTCGTTCTCCCGGTCTCCCACGTGAAGACGCTCCACCCCCCGTGTGATGTATTCCTCTCGCCGCAGCAGGTGATCCCGCCGCAGGTCCCTGCACACCTCCCTCCCGTCGCGACCATTACCAACATCCAAAAAGTCGGTCCCGCCGTCGACTCCGACGCCACGGCCTCGTGCCACTTCCGACGCCGCGGACAGGGGAGATGGCAACTGCATCCACTCCGGCCGACCCTTGGCGCCCTTGGACAGAGAGCCCACCCGTGGTTGGGGCGTCGACGAGTTCCGGTTCGTTCCCGCCGTCTCACTCGCCAACGCCCTCGTCCTCGCTGATCGATCAACAACTGTCAATTGCCCGCCTTCGTCGCCGGGGTGGGGTCGCACGAGCACTGTGCGCGATGGAGTTGTAGACCGCCCGGTGGACAAACCAAACGACAAGTTGACGCGGCCATCTCCTTCGTCTTCGCCAAGGCCAGGCCGAAGGAGTTCAGTGAATGATTGCTCGTACACGCCGGCACCCGTCCCGCACAACTCCGTGGCTGTCCACTCCTGCGTTGATCCGCTGCCCAACGACACGGTTTGTGGCCGTCTCTCCACCACCTCCTCCTCGTCCGATGAGCCGGGGAGTGGTTGCAAGTGCGGTGGCAATGCATCATACCCAACCCGCTGGGAGGCCCTGCCAACGGTCGACAGGCTCCCCCCACACCGCCTCCCTCCGACCTGCTCCCCACCGGACCGGGGGATCGCCTGCCGTGCCTCCATCCTGGCGTCCTTCATCGAAGACCTTTTGCGTCGACGCGGCGGCACGTTCCCAAGGATGCAAACGCGGAAGAGAACCACGAGGAGCAGCAATAGGACAACGAGGATCAGCAGCGGCAGCCTGCGGAACACGTCAGCCATGAAACAGTCGATGACGACGGCAGCAAACGGAAGACAACGCGGGCGCCAACATAACAGCGGAGCGCAGTGCTGCAAACGGTCGTCCTGAGGACGTCTTCGGTCTCCCACGCTCAGTGCGTAATTGGGAGCTGGAGTGCGGCCTGAAATATTCGTATCTGCCGACCGTTGGGACATTCCCGCAGATTGCCAAACGCGACGACGCAAGACGGCACCTTCTGGACGTGGGGGATGCCGGTTGCCCGCAAACGGTAACTGTTGCAGTGAAGCCAAACGTTGGCGACCCGACATGTCCGTCGAGTCGCAGGCAGGACCATCGATGGACCAGACGAAATTGAAAAATGTCGTCGAAGGAGCTGGAGTCGACGCCCCGATTCTTCCGAAAGCTCGACCTCCGAGGGACCATGGGAGGTCCCTTGGAGAAATCGCCAAAATGGCTGTGTGGCCCCGAGGAATCCCCGAGGAATCCCCGAGGAAATGTTTTCACATTTTCTTTTCCGTGTCTTCCCCGAGGATGAGTGGAACGGGCATTTCCTTGGGGAATTGCGGGCCCCGAGGAGTGTCGAACGAGGCCCACAGCCCACGACAGGTAAGTACACGAAGTCAATCACCAACAGGTAAGTACACGAAGTCAATCACCAACAAATCCAAACAAACAAGTGTTAGCTGCTCTTCTTCGCTGCCTTCTTGCAGATAGTTGTGTGACCAGACACATGCCCTGGTGCATGGCACTACAGCTTACTCTAGTGTTGTACCGCCCGCCAAGTCACACACGTGCAAGGTTTTGTCCACACCAGTCTCTCTTTCCTCTTTGCAGTTCGCCACGTCAGTTACACCATGTACTCCATATCAGCAAGACCACCGTGACACATCAGCAAGACTTATGCTACATCAGCATCATTCAAAGGCCACATCAGTGGAGTACTACTTGGAGCACATGAGCAGTGGAATACCGCTCAGAACCATATCTGCTCAGTGGAATGCCGCTTGGAAAATGCCGCATCAACCTCGGTTAGTCGCTGCCACCTCAGGAAGGTGTCGAGCCACTGGAGGTACCTCCAAGCACTATGGAAAATGTCACGTCATCCTATGTACCTCGCTGTATCTTCAGGAAGGTGCCACGTCAACACCTACATGCGCTGCCACCTCAGTGAGCAGCGTGCCATGTGAACAAGAAACACCTCTAGAGGAGGGAAGCCCAATAGCGCTATCAAGCCTAACACATCGGCAGGCCACTCCGAACTTCAGCACCGAAGGAATCTCCATGTCAGCAGGTAAGTTCCTTATCTCCTCCCCCTTCCACGTCAGCACTATCCTTCCAGTCCCGTTTCCAATGCCACGTCAACGCTTCTCTCGCCAACGGGCACCGACTAAACCAGCCAACCGGTGAGTTATCGAGCAGCGATAGGATTAGACAATGCCACTCTTCTCCTCCACGGTCGACACCTCAGATCCTCGTCATCATCATCATAGTCGTGCGCAATATCTCAACCAGCAAATAGCGAGGAAGGAAGATATCGCTCCGATACCAAATTGCAATGAACACAGTAAGATGAGAAACTCGTGAATGTCGAAATGCAAGTCGGACACAGCGCAGCATCAATATCTCCAAAAATTCATTATGAAAACATGTCCATCATACATGTAGTCTCCCAATATCTCAAACTCAGAGAAGAGAACGAGGAGAGAAGGAGAAGAGACTGAGACGAGGAGGAGAGTTTCCACAAGAATCAATGAGGCAGAAATCCCTCCTCAAGCCCACTTCCTCATCGGGCGTCTCCTTCACTCACCACATCAGCAATACAGTTCTCCCCTGACGATCTCTGACATATACAACGAACAGGTCACAGCAGGGCGCCCATCCTCCGTCCATGTCGGCAGCAATCACGGAGGATGGCGCAGATCTTCCTCTTGGAGACGGGCAGCAAAGCACACGCAACGTCACAGGTAAGTCCAGGTAAGCTTCTCCTCCTCGCTCAAACCAATCTCACAGTCCAGATCCACCTCCTCACCCACACTCCTGTCAATGTCAAAATCAATGTGGCTATGGCCACGTCAGCATAATCACCCACACGGCTGGCGCCCACACCCAATATCTGGCACCAGAAAAAGCTCTGGCAGCCTTGCGTCGTGGCACCAGCATCCCGCCAGCGACAGACAGACTGCACAAGACTGAATGATCTCCAAGCAGGGGATGGGCCAACTTATACTGTTGACTCACGTTGACCAGCCTTTGGTCTCCTGGGGTCAACAGCCCAGATCAATCGAAAGCCAATGGCCTGGATGCTGTACAGTTGCAGATTTGCCATGTCCCACTCGGACCGGATTCTTCTGGATACCTGCAGACAACCAATAATGCGCATCTGATCTACGGTCGTGGTTGCCAGCGGGTTGACTTTGACCTCTGGGCCTGGATTCCCGTGCTGGGGTTGACCGTTGACTTCTCAAAGTCAACTGTTCCTCGTAGGGCCTCTGAATGCTGGTTTTGGCCCTCCCCGAGGCCTTTGCCCAGGCACTTCTCAGACATAGGGCATGACTTTTGACCCCTGTCGGGCCTTCAACCAAAAGTGGCGAACCAGGGACCACAGCTTATGCAGATTTGAGCCGAGTTATTGCAAAAGATTCTGTTTTCTATAAAACAAAAAAACAGGAGCAAGGAAGACAATGTGTGTATGGTGTGTGCGCGCAGTGTGAAAGTCTATAGAATGTATGTGCGCATGCCTGCTCTCCCCCATATTGTGTGTGACCATTACTGCACCGCTTGGTGTGCAGGATTTGGGGAAGAGAGAGGGTGAGAGAGAGACAAAGACAAAAGAGAAAGATGCCCCATGTGCAGCATATCATATACACCTTGATATCACTTCCTGCCGCTTTCCGACTGCTGCAATCCAGCACCCGTGCACAGTGCTCACTTTCAGTTCAAGTCAACCTCTCTCTCTCTCTCTCTCTCTCTCTCTCTCCTGACATACTGGTATACCAAGGTGAAGTTCGCAATGCCCCTGTGGAAGCAAAGTGCCACATCTGCGAGGAATGTTCTTTGAAGGTCACATGCAGGATTCTCAGAGACTTTAGGAGTATCCCAGACGTTTTCGCCCATGCTCCTGTAAGAATGATTCTGTAAAATTAATACATTCTCCTGAAGGTCGGATCGACCAAAAGCAAGCTGTTTTCCTTTCCCAAAGGCAGTTCTTAACTTCTTATCAATAACCATGAGTCACACTGAACATACTACAATTTCTGCAAACTCCTTTTCGTTCTGGGCATGAAACACTTGAGGGGTAGAGGCTGGGAGGATGTCATAAGTATCAGGGTTTAATCTCTCATATGTCTGCACGTTGATTAGGTAGCAAGGCCAGAAGTCCAGCAGGCCCTGAAATGTCTGGACGCAGATTCAGACGCCGTGCCCGGACGCAGATTCTCACCAGGTGTGCACATCATTTGAAGATGCCCCAAGAAGCGCTGGAAAAAGTCTGTTGTGTAAAGTTGGAATGAAAACAACTGTCCTTCAGGACATCCGTTAAAAGTGGAACGACACACAGGATTAGCATGGCCCCTGCGCAAGGGGAAAAAAAGAAAAAAACGAATAGAAACAGCTTGTCGCTGAGGATCATTGGAAAATTTCTTCCAAAAAAAAATGAGAAATAAGGAAAACAAACATCAACTTCCCCGCAGTTCATCGGTTTAACCCCCCCCCTCTTTCCCCTTTAACATCCCTCACAGCATCATTAGATGCCCACACAATGACACCCTTATCTGTGCTCTATTTGACATATGCAGGATAACTATTGTCAAGACTGAAAAGATGTCTCGATTCCCAGATTTGTCCAATAGCTGTCCGGCTCGTACAACCCAGGTTCCCTGGACAGCATGTGCTACATTGGCGGGGGAGTTATGAGGGGAGGGGGGTATCCGTAAGATTGTTGTGCCCAACATGATTTGATTTTATGACCTGATTGGCATCAGTTCTACATATAGACAACTCAGTCACAATGTAGGTACAGTTCCCGGCTTGTCTTCAAAAATCACGAAATAGTTAAACTTTAAAATACAGAAAAGGGACCACAGTCCTGCTCAACTACAAGAAGCCACTGCTTTTCATGTTGATAATGAGACATCAACACAAAGACAGCAGTGTAGGCAGAGCAAAGAGAGAGCACACATCATCCCCCTCCACTTCAACCCTGAATACCAGCCACAGGGCTCCAGATGTGCTCACGTAATGCCATCTTGCATTCCCAAACGGCAGTTCCTAATAAGAAAAGAGAGACCAAAGAGGACAGTACGAAATATTGAGAGGAAAGCGAAAGCCCGGAACAGACTCCACATCCTCCTCCGCAGCCCATCGGTAAGTACTGCAGCCAGCAACAGGCTCCTGAGGAATTCATAAGGGCAAGCTGGTGTTCTGCATCACTTGTACTGCACTGCATTCCAAAATGACATGTCGTGCAGTTTCATCCAGATGGGACAGAATGCACTCCATAATCACTGGACTCGTTTCTTTTCACATTTACAGGGAGCTTTCACTTCACATTCCACCATGGGGAGAAGCAGCATGTGATATGCTTTTTCCCTACTTCCATCAAGCAGTCGACACATCTAACTGCGACGCCCCTCCACAATCAGAGGATAGACCGCTGAACCAAACTGCAGTCAACGGTTTCCCAAATGTCCCACCACGCAGCCTGTAGACGTACTAGACGAGCCTTCTGTAAAGGGAAAACTAACACTGCACTGATTGCAGAGCATATCATAGATGGCTTGCTTCCTTCAACGCTACAAGCTGGCATCACACGCCTCATTGCACACATCCAGCACACCAATTGATTCTGCGTGTGTGGTGTTTAGTTGCATTTCTTCCCCGTTGTGAACGCATCCCTGAGATTCGAGCAGGCAGCCAATGCACGCCTACCTGACTTGCTTGTGCAGTGCACTTTCACAGAATTCAGCTGTACTTTGTCTGTCACAGATAGGGTATACTCGGTGTTGACTTCTGAGCGATCAAACGAGGTGTTAATGCCACCGTTCAGCATTGCTCACCTGAATAGACAAGTTTGAGTGAAATTCAGTGATTCTTATGAACAATCTGACATTGTATACACGAGGAAAGAAACAGGCACCGACTTTTGAGAATTGCCACCACACACTCGTACACCCACCACGCATTGAGAGGGGTTTTCCTAAAATGCATACCAAACATCTCTATCACTACCAGTTTGCTGACCGCTGTACACCAAAAGCATGCTCCGGATGCCACCAGTGACAACTGGTGACACCACCCAGCTCACTTAGCTGTAGCCAGTGAGTTGCTCTGCTTGATATGAATTACGCAACTAAAGAGGGCTACAAGCAACAGCAATCACAAAGAAATGCTCCTCCTAACTGGTTTCCAATCCAGATAAGAATATACTTGGTGCAACTGTTGTTCCTCTGTTCTCAGCTGCCAGTAAAATTGCAGACAGAGATAGATATCCCTCAATTGAATTCACAACCGAGGGCTGCCTTCGTTTTCAGAAATTTTGGTACATTTTACCATACATACAGAATATGCCGGAAGAGGATGTGGCTCACGGCCCCCTTGGCCCAGAAAGCTTTGGGCCTCCCGTTCTTCCTTGCACAGTCGATCTTTCCCTTTGGACCTGAGGAGGTGTTGTCTTAAGGTTTCGTATTCTAGCTACTGGCACTGACATTCTTGTGGCAAAGGAATCATTCTTCACATCAGTGATTTGTTCACCAGTGCCAGCTGTAAGACTCTCATCAGACCCATCCACAGAGTCTAAGTCCCCGATATGGCCATCGCCTGCGTACCCTGCATCTACATCACATCCATCCCCTCCCTCTAATAAAGCCCTGGCAACCCCATGATGATCGACCTCTGCATGGGTTCCCCCTTGAAAATCCCAGTTCACTCCTCCTATATCGCCTGCTATGTCTCCCACATTCAGCAGCCATGTGTCTGGTTGAGCCTCTCGCCTTCTGGAACTAGATTTCATTGCCATCTTCGGGACATAGCTTGGACACAAAGGATCCCTCAGCGAGTCAGAAGGAAATTCGTTTTGATGGCCGAAGTCCCTCACCCTGTGACCAACATCTTCCCTGTAACCACCATACCAGTCCCATTCATTGCTGGCCTCCAGGAATCCAGGCTCATTCATAGAAACCCGTCCACCTTGGAGTGTCGGCAGAAAATCCACACGAGGTGAGGCCCCCCCACGGGATAATGGATAGTAATGCAAAGCTTGATCATTCATACCTACCGCCGATGAGACTCGCCCCTCTCCCAGACTGCCTGGCCTCAACACTTGCCCGCCATAGTGAGTCCCCATTCTTCTATGCCCCTGCCTGTCAACAGCACCACCATAGTGATGCGGGCCCCAATGCATGGACAGATCGATTTGCCCAGCACGTCCTTGAAGACCATGGCAGAGATAGTGTGCGTGAGGAGATGTGGGGTGGAGCTCAAGTGCTGCCCAAAGCAATCCCTGTTCATATCTCACGGAATCTTCACTTACCCTCCCCATCCTCCCCTGGCTTCTTACGGGTAGGTTCTCAGGCTCACTGAAGTAAGCTTGGCAATCTGCCCAGGAAGGAGCTCCACTCAGGTGATCGTCATGTTCAAAGTGACTTTCCAGAACGCTGGCATCCTTAGCCAAGTGAGAGTACGCTGCTTCCTCCAACCTTGCAGATGAAAGCTGTTGCAAGCGCTTGCCCGCTCTGTCGCCTGCACTTCCCATGCTTTCACTGCCTACGGAAGGCCTGATGTCACGGCCACTCCAGTACTGACCCTGCTTCATTGAAGATTCGGCCCTGATGGAGAACTCGTCTGCTTTGCCGAGACTACTATTAGATTTGCCAGAGGACCTCTTCTGCCTGGCATCCCCGTTGGCACCACTTGGTTCTTCCCAGCTACTTCCTCCGCTTCGAGATGATGGCTTACCACTCTTCAAAGAGTTCACAGGACCCCTGCTATCAAGATGCAGTGGCACTCCCAAAGGGCTTGAATAAGAATCTCCTCCCTTTCCAGACACACTGGCTGTGCTGGACCGATCTTTCCCGGCATGGAATTCTCTGAATGCATTCTTTCCATGCTCACTTCCACGTATGCGGCCTTCAATCAGCAGTTCCTTTGAATTGGCAACGGTAGCTGTCATGCAACTTGTATGCCCAGGCTTTGGAGGAGACGTTGGGTGTGTATTCCCAGTGCTGTACTTCGGAGAAACTTCTACACCGGCAGCAGACCGACGATCGGCATGCGATTCCATGCTCCTCCGATCCGACTTCAGCAAGCGGTCGTGCAATCTTAACCGCTCTTCCTCATGCCTCCGTTGAAGCTTGTGTAGTTCCTGCTCGTGCCTGCGTTCCAGTTTCTCCATCTCTATCCTAAACTCGTCCATCTCATCACCCTTCTCCACACCCCATATGAATTGGTTGATGACGTGCTCCGATTTCCTGTTCCTGATGTTCTCCTCCTCCGGATAATCATTCTCAGACAGCCCCTCGGGCATCCCTCTGATACTGCTGGGGGGAAACCTGGTCGGAATACCCAAATCCCATCCCTGACCATTCTGATCACTTTTCCACATCTGATTTTTCCTCTTCCTACCACTGACAGAGCTCCCCTGCTTTTGACTACGTGCAGAGGCAGAGGCAGAGGCTTCATTGTTTTCGTCATCGTCATCAGGATCACTAAAGCGGGCCAAAGAGCCTTTCCCATCCGACAACATGTCAGACCTACGACTTCTATTCCAAAGCATTATTGCTTCGCGGTTTCCTTGCCCTTGCCCTGGTTCACCCGGCTGATGAACAAGGTCATCCTCACCTGAGGACTCGGACAAATATCCCGAGGATCGTTGTTCGTACCAGTAATTCATGGATTTAGGATGGGGATGTTCGTATGTGACCTCTGCAAACCGGCCATAGTGGAATTGGCATCTCGTGGGCGAGCTCATTTCATGAAGTGAAGGATGGTCATATGAGTGGTGAGGATGAGGTCCCAATTTCTGACCAGAGTCTGAATCGTGAAGAATCCCCTGAGGGGATCGACTTGGGTACATGTATGGTGAGCTGGAACCCGATCCAGTTCTCAAGGGACGTGGATCATCGTCAGCAGTGCCAGGGAAGGACGGACCCACGAAAACTTCAATTTCACTCTCTTCCCCGTTATGCTCATTCGGTGTAACATCAGCACCGTGGTCCCACTCACTGTCAAGATTTGCAATCTCAGCATCGATCATCTGTGCTATGATTGACACATCTGAACGGTGAAGCTCCAGCTCGGCGACCATCTCTTGCGCTACATCCAATGCTGTGTCTTGGTCAGGTAAAAAGGAGAAGTGAATGTTCCGCACTTTGTTCTCCTCCAAGTCAGGAATCGTCAGCCTCATGTAAATGTCATCTGGCCGTCTCCTCCCTTTGACAATCATGCGCCTTGATGATGTTCGACTGAGCCTGCGCTGGTCACTCGTGTTTGTCTCTTCCTGTCTCTTCAATTCAAGACGCTGTGTATCCTCCGCTTCAGGCAGCTTTGGGTCTGTCACAGCGCGGTCTTGAACATGCTTCACTGGTTGCCGGTTGTCCGTATCCCCTTTGCCTTGGATCCTGTTATCCAATTCCCTCCTGGGATCGGGGTATGAAATCCGAGGTGGCTTAGCAGGGATCAAGAGCGCATCCTCGGGCTCATCTGATCTAAGAAAAGAGTCTGCTAGCAACTCGCGAGCAGGAAGGCGGCACGAGGCCCCAGCCAAGCATTTCTCCACAAAGGCACGAACCTCAGGGTCCTTCACCTTGTCCAAGGCAGCAGGCTTTTTCCCAGATATCACCTTCTTGTATATCTGAGCAGCGTTATTACATTCGCTGTACGGGTACTCAAACGTGACCATCTCCAATAGGCACATTCCAAATGAATAGATGTCAACTAGTTCATTGTACTCTTCTTCATATAACTCGGGTGCCATGAATTCAGGTGTGCCTATAACACTGTGAGCAGCATGAGCCTGGCGGAGAATGGCTGCTAGCCCCAGATCACCAATTTTCACCTCACCTTGATTCCCATTTATAAAGATGTTATCACACTTCAAATCTCGATGGATAATTGGGGGATCATGACTGTGCAGATACAACAACCCTCTGAGAATCTGTCGTGACCAGCTCTTCACAGCTTTCATATCCACATGTTTGTGCCTCTTTCGGTACTGCCTTAGAGTGCCAGAGGTGAAGATTTCAGTGATGAAATTGACATTCTTAGACTTCGTATCAACCCATGAATTGTAGAACTTGATGATGTTTTTGTGTTTCAAGGTCTTCAACAAGTGCACTTCCGAGTAAAGCCGTTCGAGGTCCTCAGGCTTTTGGAGCGCATCCTGGATCTTCACCTGATTCCAGGCAACTTCTATTCCATCCACTTCATCAAACGCTCTGTACACCGTCTTGAACGCACCCTTGCCAAGAATTTCATCATACCGCCCATACCGACCCGTGGGATCCACCTCCACAAATTCAGGCTCCCTGTCATCCGGGTCTGGAGGATTTGGATCTGTAGAAGCTGGAGTATCGTCATCCCCCTTGAGTTCAACCATCCTCAGGCTTGAAGGGACACTCCTCCACCCCTCCCTGATATGACAAGCCAGAACTCCAAGGAAGCTGTCTTGTACTCAGCACCGTACAATATTGTTGTTCATAGTCCCACCTGCCTCTGGACCCTGCGCTCCCCTCTCCCAACCTGCCAGCTCACTCACCCCCCAGATGACTTCTGAAGCACGACACAGCTCCCAGCATTCGACAGACCTCCACGCGCTCCCAGCATTTCGAACTAAGTCATCATCTGCATGTAACCGGATGTTTCGTCAGCTTGGCAGCAAAATAAATGTCGCTCCAGTTGTTCCCGCTGAGAGAGAAACATTATTAACATATGACGATATATAGACGAACACAAAATATAAAGGTGACGAAGCTCGAGACATGGTCCCCCTATGCGGTATATCTCCAGAGGTCCCCACCAGAAGTTCACCAGTGCATTAGTCTATCAAACCAGAGTAGAAGCAAGGAAATAGAATCTGTTTAAAACGGGCCAGACAGAAGTTACCACATTTCAGATGGATGCATCAGTGATCTATATGCGCATGCCCGACTGCCTCATCGCCATTAGATATAATTTTCATGATACTGAATGATGAGGATATGAACACGAGGATGAAGAAGACAAGGATGACATTACAGAGGACACATATATAGCCACAGCATGATACCTTATGGTATGCACCATGAATGATTTGATGTCCAGCAGCTGTTTCCTTGCAAGAAATGCACTGCACTCAGTGTTGCATAACTGCATACCCAGAAGCCAAACAATACCGACCCTCGGTTCTCACAATAGAATTATCATTCTCCACTCTTGATATTGTGTTCTAGTGAAAGAGAATGAACAAGCTGTGCCCCAACCGCACCCAAATGATGATTCTTCGGAACGTACTCTAACAATGTGGCACCAGGAAGATGATGAGATCAAGAAATACTACGTAGCAGGAAGATGATGAGATCAAGAAATACTATGTAGCATACTGCATTGCATACCAAGTTCCATATGTAAACAGAGAACAGACTGATCAGCTTGCTATCTGAACTCTCTGAAAACTATCTACCGAGCACTAGCACCTCAGCAACCCTTGAAGCACAACAGAAAAAGCCATGGCATGCCACAACTACCCTTGTTCTCTTGTGTCAGCCACATAAATAAAACCCACTCCCCACTCGCTGTTATTCTGGAAGGTCACAACAAGCTGATAAGAAAGTTGACCCTGAGCCTGATTCCCCAAGGCTCAAAACAACTTTTTGCTGGCTTCTCCATAACACACCTTCAGAGAAGAGCCACACTCATCATATAAAAGCAAGATGCACGCTCTTGAGAGAGACTGAGACGCTGTGTGTGTGACAACAAGAGCAACTCTGACCCCATCAGCACCCCAACTACAATGTAGGCAACCGCATCCCTGTGGTGCGCACACAGCATGGTAGGGCAGGATGGAGCTTCCATCTCTTTTGGAGAGGGGAGAGGCAGAACAACAGCTTTCCTGTGGGGTCCTGCAAAAGCATCTCCACATGGAGTCTTCAGCACTCAATATGGCCTTCAGTCTTAAATACAGCCTTAGTTAGGCACAGCCTCAACACACTGACTCATTCCAGTAGTTCCCACTTAGAGACATTGTCAGGCCTCCAGTGTGCAGGCTTATCAAATAACCCCCATCAATGTACCGCTGCCATGTCAACCCCCTCTCCTCCTCCTGCAAAACTATCCATTTCCAATTGACATCCCCTCTCCTCTAATCCAACTACACATGATAGTGTTATCTGATAATTGGCAGGAAAGCAGCCTTCTGAATCACATGCCTCTTTCTAAAATGCAGGATTTCTTCCAACTCATCAGCTCATAGAGAAGTATAACCAGAGTGTTCTTCTTTTCTAGATACTCATATCCAGGCCTGCATAACACCTGTATGATTATCTATTGCCGCCTCAAGTGTCATCATATTCTAATATATCGTGGTGGAACTCCACAAACAGGAGACGGAATCGCAGACAACCGGCAAACCAAACTGTTTTCCTCGTTCCAAGAAGAAAATCTTAATTTTCTACACCAAACATACCTACCAACACAACGTGTCAAACTGCTGTAAGATATATCGTTTTGCCAGAGCATGCAAAGAATCTGGGTCTTTCGGCACCGACTCTTCTCCGACAACATAAAGGAATTTAAGCGCATGCGAAGAATCTGGGTCTCTCGGCACCACTGTTCTCCGACAGCACGAAGAAATTTTTGATGGCAAAATGACATTCGATAAAGTCAAGTGCAAGTATGAAAGCATGATCTCACCACATGGACAGTAGAAAGACAAGCACGGTTGATCCTCACACAGAAGGGCCATTGGAGAAACTTCTGCCTGTGCAGATACAAAACTATTCCAAGGGGATGGACACTCTTACTTGTCGCTCCTTCCGCAAAATGTGGTTAGTGTCCACCAACCTCCCAATCCTTCAGACCCAGAGTCACCATATCCAGTAACCTTTGCCTTCTCCACGAATAGCAGACACATCCAGTGCCCATCATGCTGAGGTAACCAGATCCTCTTTCCATTTCCACCAGCTCGAACTACTGCCTAAACTGCCTTGGCACTGCTCTCCGGCATGCTCTAACTAATGATTACAGCTATTATCTTCAGTGGGTCCCCTCTGGACAACATAACCTCATCTGGTTATGCTGAAAAAGGTAGAACCACATGCTTCGAACTCGTGAACGAGATAGAGCATTCTTCTCACCACAAGCAGTACAACCAATCCCCAAAACTGGCTGAACCCATCGTGCCACGACTTCGAAAACTCCACGTTCGGACAAAACTCACAACTACCCACAATCTCCCCCCCCCAAAAAAAATGACAGAACTCTCTCTCTCTCTCTCTCTCTCTCTCTCTCTCTCTCTCTCTCTCTCTCACACACACACACACACACACACACACACACACACACACACACACAACAGCTTTTATGATGCGAAAGAAGTTCAGAAACAGTTCTACACTATCCCAGCGAAGGAACACACTGTGGAAAAGCCCTCTAAAGGAAATAGACAGCAGGCAGAACGACACACATATGCATGTGCCTGCAGAAAGTTGACAACAGACCAACTCCCACAGAAAACAGCATGGTTTGGCAAATCAGGTGTTTTGTGATGCCTCCTTATTTCAGCCACCTGGTCCAAGCTGCAGCACAGCCAACCAGGGTTAGCAGCCCTTGGACACCAAGAGGACCGTCTGATACAGTGGTCATCTGTGGCCATCTGCAGGATGGAACAGGCAATCACCCGCAACACCAGTGGCTATGTACTCGAGCTCATCAACCTTGAAGGTGGGACCTCGGTATCATATACGTAGGTATTCAAAAACACAATTATCTCCAGCTCAGGATGGAGCATGATCAGACTCCATAGGTTCTCTATCAAAAGTCCAAGGATCTGGGGCGGCCAATCGTAATCCCAAACCGTAGAGGAGAATGGCTCCATAAGGTTATCAAATCAATGTGATGCAGCATTTCTCAGCTATTTGGTGGCAGCAGCAGCCCATCAACAGTGAAACAATACCAGTGCAAGTGATGCTATACACACTATTGGAACTGCTAAACAGTGAAACAGATACAGACATTAGATACCGCTAAGTACTTATTTTCCGGGCCCGCTCATGCATAGACAAGTGAGTTCGACATTCTATGTGGGGGCATGGTACACAAAGAGACATCAGTGTTAACTCCAGAAAACAAATCCTACACAGAATACAAGTCACTAAGCTGTATAAAAAAATAAAAATAAATAAAAATCACTAAGCTGTGGAACATGACAAAATGGCCTGTCCACTAACAGAGAGCTTAGACTTTGGGTTGATAGCAGCTGGCCAACATGAAGCCAAAAATACAGGATGTCCAGTACCCCAGATCAGGCCGTTGACAGCAGCTGGCTAGCCACCAAGCCAAAATAAAGGCTGTCCACTGGCCGAGATCAGGTTGCCCCGCCGAGATCAGGTTGCCCCGCCGAGATCTCGATGGTGGGAACTGAACTCAAGTGCAACCCCGCGCCACAAAGTTGTTATGTCATCCAGAAAGCTGTTACGGCAGCCATTGCACCTTGCTAATATTCCGTGCTCTGTGGCGTCAGCACGGCAACATCCTCCAGAAAAATTTGAGCGACCCTCTGTCCATGCTTCCTGAGGCCCTACCGGCCCTCAGTAAGTCACCAGTGCCACCACGGAGGGAGGCACAATAAAGAAAGAGAGCGAGAACAGGGGATGAAGGAGGGGGCCAGGATCGAGGAAGAGATGAACAAGAGAGGCAAAGAGAAAGGGAGCTGCACCAGCCCAGAAAACACATCTGCTCTTTCTGGACTGGAGGTATTTTTCCACCACTTATCACTGCTTCAGTAGGAAGCATAATATCTATGCTCTTTACAGCTTTCTGATCGACGCCTGTGTTTTGCTTCCTCCCTCCACAACGCTTGTGTCACGATTCCGTTCTTGTGCATGGTCGTGGCACATCTGCCCTCCCAGCGTCATCCAGAGTGCTTTTCTTCTTAGCAGCTCAAACAGGTTGGATCTTGTGAATGCAAATAACCTCGTGGGTGTGTAGAAGCGGTCCGCATAGAGAAGTCGGATGAATATAAACGTAGCATCAGTGAGCAAGTGCAGGGGTTAAATGACCACTACCCCTGGAATTTAAGCTTGTGAGCCTAACAAGGCTGAGTAAGGACCTACGCAGGGGCGGGGTGGATATCACGGCCAGTATGGTTCCACTTTTGAACACCGTATCATGGCTGTAGTGGTTAAAGAGTCTTGGCTCTTGTGGCCAAGGGGACACAGAGGAGGTCTGAGGCCCCCAATACTGATCAGAACACCACTGTGAGGCTCCCTGGGAACCCATGTGGAAGTGTTACTTGCTTCAGTGTGACCAGGCTGTGTAGCAGCGGCAGAGGCTCCCTGGGATGTGGAAGTGTTGCTTCGGTGTGACCAGGCTATGTAGCAGCGGCAGGGTCATGTGCTGATGAGAGAGAAGTGTGCAACAATTGCCTGTGTATGGACGAAGCTAAGTCCTGAGTGGTGTTCTGTGTGGTGTGAGTAAGGACAGTAAAGCCATGCAGGGGTGGGGTGGACATCATGGCCGGTATGGTTCAACTTTTGAACAACGTATCATGGCTGTAGTGGTTAAGAGTCTTGGCTCTCATGGCCAAGGGTGCCGGTCCGAATCCGTGCATGCACGGAGGTGGTCTGAGGCCCCCAGTACTGATCAGA